TATATATATATATATATATATATATACATATATATATATATATATATATATATATAAGTGGAGGAGGTCATGCGCTAAAGCCTAAATTAGAGTCGGTGATAAGAGTTAACCCAAATTTGACCCTCCATGCCACGTGCAACTGCAACTTCTTGTATAGAGTGGTCATTTGTCACATGTTGTTACATGATCTTATGTAATGAAATTAGCTTAATTGGAAGTTCTATGGAATTATAAAGCTATACTTCAAAGCTATATGCTGTTATGGAATTTGATTGACTTTGTAGTGTATAATTCTAAATAAAGGTTCAAATTAAAAGATACTTTTATGGTGTGAAAATAATATATAGTCGCATTTTTTTCTATTATTATGAGCAAGTGGATGAAATGTTTGTATTTTTTAGTTTGAAATATATTGTGAGTTATTTTGAAATGATATAGTTTCAAATGTCATTTTCCTAATTTCTTAATAAGTAGCGAGAGAGAGAATGAGTGTTGGATTTTAGTCCCATATTAAAGATTAGTATAGTGTGGGATAATCAATCTCTTACAGAGTTGTTACGTCTCTATCTCTCACATTAATCTCTTCTGATTTTAGAGGTTTTTATTAACATCTCTCTCTGTTATACACGGACATAAACATACATGTTTCTATTAGCATCTCTTTCTTTTGGTTATACACGAACATATACATACATGTTCGTCTATGAAATGGAATTTATTTATTTTTTAGATAAATAATATTTACTTTTCATTTTTTTAATTTATAGAAAACAAAAGTACATACAGTTAAGTTTTAATTATACGCAATTATAAAAAAAAAATTGCATACAATTAGTTTACAAAATTTTTAATATAATAGTTTACGCTCGAATTTGTACCGAACTCTAAGTGAGATCAACTCAAATATATTGCGAAACGAGTTAGTTGTAAAAATTAGTAGAGAGAGTGGAATAGCTCAAATTATAGGTTTAGGGTCGTGACAGATCTCTAAAGATCTATTTCTCCTCCAAACCTATTGGCAGCACCAGCTCCAGAATCTATTTATTAGACGTTAAAAATCTTCTAAATTTTAAATAAATCTAAGAAATAAAAAAATATCAAGAAAAATAAAATGAAATAGAAAAATAAAGTTAATAAAAGATAAGATAAGATCACATACCTGAAAAACCCAAAGTTAGTATCTGAAATTTTTTAGGAATTTCCTAAGGACTTTTGACTATTTTTGGATGAATTTTTTTCTTTGAGGGGGTATTTATAAGTTTAAACTAGGATTAGGCTTGTAATTAATTGATGTAGTCTCCTAGTTCAAGTTTGATTAGGAATATGATATTTTTCAGATTTTTTCAGAATATTCCGGCCAAAACTGACCCAAAATCTAGTCAAAAAAGGATTAGGGCACATTTAGATATTTGGATATGTCCTACTCAGGCCTTCACGTGTCGAGTCGCGCGTCACGCGCGAGACAAGTATCATGTCGCACATGGGACTAAAATATTATTTTTGTGAGCAATTTTCCCCGGGCCATATCTTTCTAATCGTAAGTCAGATTTAAGAGATTCTTAGATTGTTCGAAAATTTACGATCTCCTCTATAATTTGGAACCACATTTGATCAAATTTGAGTTATTTCTTAAGGGTCTATAAGGCTAGGACTTTAGGATCTCGATTTTAGGTTTTTGGGCGTTAGATTGATGTTCAGGTCAATTTTCTTGATTCATAAGGCTTATGGGTGTCTAAGACGATTATTTGATGGTCTTAGGATAGGTTTGGGGTGACTTTCGAACAATTCTAAGTAGTCTAGGTTCATTATGGCTCAGTTAGTTTACTGTGGTTCTTAGGTCTTAGAACCAAGGCTTGGGAATCCTATTAGGCTTGGGAATCCTATTAGTCAGAATTATACTAGTAACATAATTATTGTAATATATTACAATAATTATATTACAATAATTATATTACTGGTATATTACAATAATTATTAGTAATATAATATACTAGTAATTAGTGTAATATACTAGTATATTACAATAATTACTAATATATTATATTATTAGTAATTATTGTAATATAATTACAATAATTTATTATTATTGTAATTATATTACAATAATTACTATTATTATTGTAATTATATTACAATAATTACTAGTAATATGCAAGTGCATTACATGTAATATTTAATATTAATCACTTAAATATATTTATCATTGAAAAAGAATTCAATAAAACATGGCCGTAGAGAGAATTTAATGCATTTATCTTCACAATTGAATATTTTATTAATTAATAATAAATGTGATAAAATATTCAATAAAACATGGTCTTAGATCACATTATTATTAAATTAATAAATATTCAATTGTGAAGATAAATGCATTAAATTCTCTCACTAAGCCCACGTTTTATTGAAATTCTAACTAAGTGGATTCCTAAGCCTTGGTTCTAAGATCTTGGGACCACAATAACCTAACTTAGCCATAGTGAAACAAAACCCTTTAGAATTGACCCAAAATCATCCAAAACATATCCCAAGACTCTCAAATAATCTTCTTAGACACCCACGAGCCTTATGAACCCAAAAAATTGAACCCAAGATATTTGATGCCCAAAAACTTAAAATCGAGACCCTAAAGTCCTAGCCTTGTAGACCCCTGACACTTAAAGTTTTAGAGAGAAAGATCTTCTTAAAATTTTAGATAGATAAACTATATCAAATTTTAGAGAGAAAAAGTACCTGAAAATTTCTAGAGATAGAAACTTTCTTAAAATTTTTAGAGAGATAAAACATATCATATCTTAAGTTTTAGAGAGATAAAATATCTTAAAATTTTTAGAAAAAAATATTATCTCAAATTTTAAGTTTTAGAGAGAGAAAGTATATAAAAATTTTATAGAGAAAAACTACAAGAAAAAATTTAGAGAGAGAAACTATCTCAAAAATTTTAAACAAGAGAAACTATCTCAAATTTTAAGTTTTAGAGAGAGAAAGTATTTTAAAATTTTAAAGAAAGAAACTATATCAAATTTTAGAGAGAGAAAGTATAAAAAATTAGAAAGAAACTATCTCAAAATTTTTAGAGAGACAAACTGTTTGAAATTACACATTTTAGAAAGATAAAATACTAGAAAATTTTTAATGAGAGAAACTAGCTCAAAATATTTTGAAAGACAACCC